GCTGTGACCCCGCAACCACCCTGCGGGAGAGCCCCTCCACAGAGCAGCCTGCAGCCCTGCCCAGCCCAGCACGGCACGCTCTCCTCCTAAGCGGCGCTCAGATGGCGTCCCAGGCTGTCGCTCCCTCCTCACCCCTTCTCTCCCGGGCCCACTCCTCCACGTTGCTCTCCCGGAGGCCAGGTCCAGCCGGAGCGCCTCAGACTTCTGCCCCCACATCTGCAGCTCCCAACACCCTCTTCCTGAAATCACGCCCCCCTCTCCGCCTCCTCCGACCTTCACCTTCTCTCCCGGCTCTTCCTCCACCAGCAGGAAGCAGCCCCGCCCTGGGCCCCAGGACGACACCCATCCCTGGCAGAGATGGCAGCTACAGCCTCCTACAAAGCCTGGGCTTCCTGCCCTGCCCCACAGCTGTTCTTCACAGGGCAGCCAGAGGCTGACTCAGCCGTGGGCAAACTACGGCCCACGGGCCGGATCCGGCCCGTTTGAAATGAATAAAACTAAAAAAAAAAAAAGACCGTACCCTTTTATGTAATGATGTTTACTTTGAATTTATATTAGTTCACACAAACACTCCATCCATGCTTTTGTTCCGGCCCTCGGTCCAGTTTAAGAACCCATTGTGGCCCTCGAGTCAAAAAGTTTGCCCACCCCTGGGCTAACTCCTACGCCAGGTCCCGTCCCTCAGTTCCCGACTCACCCGGCATGAGCCCCAGTTCTGCGGCGGCCAGCAAGCCCTCGTCCTCTTCCTTCTCTCCGTCCCGCCCTCCACTCAGCCAGCCCACCAGCTAAGCGCGGCCCGGCCATTCCTCCACCCGGCCACGCGGCCTCCACCCGCCCGTCGGCTCGCCCCGATTTCCATGTCTTTGCTCAAATATCACCTGTTGGCAAGGCCTTCCTGGAACCTCCCTCCCTGCCCACCTTGCCCGCTATTTCTCTCCATCGGACACACGTGGCCTTTTATGTGCTACCTCCAGGGGTCCTCAAACTTTTTAAACAGGGGGCCAGTTCACTGTCCCTCAGACAGTTGGAGGGCCGGACTATAGTTTAAAAAAAAACTATGAACAAATTCCTATGCACACAGCGGCGGCAAAAACACCCGGCGGGCCGGATAAATGTTTTCGGTGGGCCGCATGTGGCCCGCGGGCCGTAGTTTGAGGACCCCTGACCTAAGCCCTCCCTCGAACAGGAGCTCGGTGGCATCGGACTTCCCATCGTGAGGGGACACACCGATGGCTTCCAAGTTGCTCTTCCCCCCAGGCTTGCCTTTCCCACAGCCTTCCCCGTCTCCATCGATGGAAACCCCTACGTCCAAACTAGGCCAACAATCTCTCATCCTCCGGACTCGGCTTCCTCTCCCACCTCACGTCCAACCCATCAGCCCACGCCGCTTCCTTCCCAAATCCAGCACCCCTCTTCCTCTTGCCCCTGCCCTGCCCCCACTCGTCCCAATGGCCCGGGCCATCCCGGGGCCTCTGGACAGGCCTCCCTGCTTCTGCTCTGGCCCCTACAGTCTCCTGCCGACAGAGCGGTGGTCCTTTCAGAACATGTCTCTTCTGCTCAAACCCTGCAACGGCTCCCATTTCTCTCGGGCCAGAAGCCAACCCTCCCCATGGCCTGCAGGGCACACCTCCTGCTCTCGGGCTTCCTGGCCTCATCTTCCTCTAGTCTCTCTTCACGCTGCTGCAATACAAGGACCGCCCCCCACAGCTTTGTTGAGATATAATTGCCACGTACCGCTGTGTAAGTGGCAGGTGTACGATGCGATGATGTGATGCACCCACCAACTGCTAAATGTCTGCCACAATAAGGTTCGCTAACGCCTCCTTCAACGCACACCATTGCGATGCGTGGCCCTCTTGGTGCGGCTGGAGCACACCGGCCTCTCCCGCTGCAGGGCCTCCGCACCAGCTCTCAGTATCTGTGCTGCGAGCTCCCTGCCCCTTCCAAGACCTGCTCAACCACATGACCTGCGACAGGTATTTCCGTATTTGCTGGGCTTCCAGTCCGTCTGTCTCACCCCAGGACGTCGGCTCTGCCAGGGCAGGCGCTGTTCCGTCCACGGCTGCGTCCTCGGTGCCTAGAGCACTCTCTGCACGTAGCACACACTCAGCACAAACACGATTTGCAAAAAGCCGCCACCCGGGCTATATGATAAACCCCAATTCCTTCGGGGGCCTCCAGGCTCCGGACCGGGTGGTCTACCCCCTCCGCCGCCTCCCCAAGCCTCGCGGCGCCTTCCTCGGTCCACAAACGCG